ACCAAAGCCTGTCAATTTCACCTTTGTAACATCTCTTGAATATATATGTTCTCTTTCTCTCCTCTGACACTGCTCCCACCCTGGTGCAGGCTCTCATCACCTCAAACGTGGATTACTGCAATAGCCTTTTTGGAGTTCTCCCTACTCTAGTCCATCTTCAATTCAGCCACCAAAGTTATTTTCCTAAAGTGCAGATCTGACCATATCACCCCCGATTCAATATATTCCAAAGGCTCCCTGTCGCCTCCACAAGCAAATATAAAATCCTGACTGGCATTCAAAGCTCTTCTTAAGATAGCCCCCCCTAGATGCCTATCAATTGGGGAATGGCTGAGCAAGTTGTGGTATATGAATGTAATGGAATACGATTGTGCTATAAGAAATGATGAACAAGTTGGCTTCAGAAAAATCTGGAAAGACTTGTATGGTCTAATGCTGAGTGAAGTGAGCAGAACCAGGAGAACATTGTACATGATAACAGCCACATTGTGCGATGACTAAATATTGATAAACTTAATCCTTCTCAGCAATACAAGGATCTAAGACATCTCCAGAGGCCTTGTGATAGAAAATGCTATCCACATCCAAAGAAAGAACTATGAAAGTTGAATTGCTACCTTTTTTTTCCCTTGGGTTTTGTTTCCTCTTTCTGATGGTTCCTCCTATTGGTTTTAATTTTTACTTACATCACCATTGTGAAAATATGTTTAATGGAATGTAAACGTATAGCCTATATTAGATTGTCCGCTGTCTTAGGAAGGGTGGTGGGGAGGAAGGGGGAGAAAAAATTTTAAATTCAAAAGCATATGGAAATGATTGTTGATAAATCAAAGTAAATTAATAAAATAAATTTTAAAAAAAAGATAGCCCCTCTAATAGAGCACCAGCCCTGGATTCAGGAGGACCTGAGTTCAAATCCAGCCTCAGACACATAACACTTACTAGCTGTGTGATCCTGAGCAAGTCACTTAACCCCACTGCCTAGCCAAAAAAAAAAAAAAGACAGCCCTTGTACCCATTTTCCAGTCTTCTTATACTATATATCCTGACACATACTCTCTAATCAAATGACGCAGGCCTCGCTGCTCCTTTAACATGACACCCCATCTCTCGGCTCCAGATACTTTGTCTTGGTACCCCCACATACGGAAAGTCCTCCTTGCTCATCTCTTGCTAGCTTCCCTGGCTTCCTTCAGGTCCCAGCTAGAACTCTACCTTCTACAACAAGCCTTTCTTGATTCTCTTTAATTTAGGGCCTTCTCCACATTATTTCCTATTTTTCCTGTATATAACTTTTATGTACCTAGCTGTTTGCATGTTGTCTCTCCAACTACATCGTGAGCTCTTCTACAGCAGGGATTGTCTTCTGCCCTTCTTTGTATCTTCAGCATTTAGCACAATGCCTGGCACATAGTAGGCACTCAGTAAATGCTTACTGAATGACTAAATGTAATGAAGAAACCTCTTGAAGGCAAAGAAACAGCTGAGGGAATGATGCCTGCAAGACATTGTACTCTATAATATTCATTCTAAAGTGACTGTCCTAGATTTTTAAAGATTATAAATGAGAAAATTGTAAATCAAAAGGCTGGAGTCTGTTCACCATGGCATAATTAGATAAGGATTTTAATATATTGGTATTATTGGCATACAGTGGAACAAAAATACTTTCTAATAATATCCTTTCTTAATTTCTCCTGAGTGCTACTTTTTAATTTTAATACTACCAATTTGGTTTTTCTTCTTTAAAAACATCACATTAGCTAATGGTTTGTCAATTTTATTGCTTTATCATAAAAGCTGCTAATTTTTACATTCAATTTTTATTTTAATTTTTTTACACTTCTTTGATTTTTTCAGAATTGTTTCTGTTGGTATTTTATTTCTAATTTTGTGATGTTGATTTTTTAGGGGGTTGTTTTTTAGCATCTGTGTGTAAATTCCAAACTATTCTGACTGTTTCAGAGTGAAGTGAGGTTCCACTGCTGCGCACTTCCCATATCAAAGATCATCAAAACACAAAGTCACTCCTGGCCTGTTTCACTCAACACCATGACCCATGAAGACCTTAGGGTGCTGAGTGGATATCGGTGCCACCCTGCTAACTATTAGAGGCAGCTAAGTGGCATAGTGGACAGAGCACTGGTCCCAGAGGGAAGACTGGCACTTAAATCCAGACTCAGACACTTTGCTAGCTGTGTGACCCTGGGCAAGTTACTTAAACCATTTGCCTCAAGTTTTTTCCAATTGTAAAATGGGGATAATAATATCAACTCCACAGAGTTGTTGGAAGGATCAAATGAGGCAGTATCTATACAGTGCTTGGCACACAGTAGGTATATGCTAAATGTTTGTTCCATTCCCTTTGCTTTTCTGTTACGATGCTTCCTTCTTATCAAGCCCCTTCCAACTGTTCATTTGTGATAATCTTTCTCTTTCTTCCACATTTGTATTTCAAAGTTTCTAATCAGCTCTAGTGTTTTTACCAGGAATGTATGGAAGTCCCCAATCACATTAGCGTTTCACTTTTTTCCCCTATGGGATTCTGCTCAGCTTTGCAGGGCAAGCTGTATTGGCTATAAAGCTATCTTTGGAATTCTGTGTTCCAAGATCCCTTATGGTTACTAGTAAAAGCTGTCAAATTTTGTGTGATCCTGAGTGTATTTCCTTAGTACTTGAACTGCTTCATGCAGACAAATTGAGGTATTTTTCTATGAAGTGGGAGCTTTGGATTTGGGCTACAACATTCCTGGGATTTTATCTTTTAGGGATCTTTTCAGGAAGGGATCAACTCCTCTAACCCTTATTTTGCACTCTGCTTTTAGCAGATCTGGACAATTTTCATTTATTTCTTGAAAAGTTCTGTTGAAATTCTCCAACTGATAAAGGGTCAAAAATATGAATAGGCAAATTTCAAAGGAATACAAGGTATCAGTGGAACAGAGACAAGCTATTTGGCTGAGGCAGAAATAAATCACACACTTGATTAGGCATCGCACAATTCTCCAGCTCTCAATACCGGTTAAGATTTTCAGGTTTGTGTTTTTGAAAAGCTTGTGGGGATTGACCCCTCAACCTTAAGCATCTGAAGAAAACTTTTCCATCCAATGATCACTTCTTAATAACTTGGCAATACCACTGAACTTCCTTTCCTCAGGCTGGATAAAGCCACAGCCATACCCGCTTCCTCTGTAGATTTTCACCAATTCCCCTGTATTACCAGTTTCCACTACTCACAAAACCAACTCATTAGTTTGCTTTACCCCTTTAATTTAGGGGTTAAATTTTTGGGATCACAGACTCCTTTTGTAATCTGGGGAAACCTATGGAGCCTTCCTCGGAATAATGCTTTTAGATGGTGAAACATGCTTCCTACTTCACCAGGAAGAGAAGTGAATAAAGAGACCTAGCTGGTCAGAGCAGATCAACACGTGGCTATGTTTTGCTTGACTCTGCTTTTTGGTTACGAGAAAGATGGGCTTTGATGGGGAGAATGTGGGGGCTAAAGGGATACAGTTATATCGATGGTAAAAGAGGTTAAACACTTCAAAGAAACAAAGTAGACTAAAGAGAACAGAAGGATGATTAGGGGAAAACAAGGAAGTGGGATGACTATGAATGCTAATGAGGCATGCCACCACTGGGTAGAGTGCTAGACTTCACATAAGGAACATTATGCTTCCTGGCTAAGACACTAGGTGGGTGAACTGGGAAAGTCAATTAAACTTTGCCAGCCTATTCCCTGAATTGTAAAATAATTAATAATAATAATAATAAGCGCTTTACAAACATGACCTGGTTTGATCCTCACAACAACCCTGGGAGGTAGGTGCTATTATTATTATTCCTATTTTTACAGATGAGGAAACTGAGGCAAACAGAGATGAAGCAACTTGCCCAGGGTCACACAGCTCATAAATGTCTGAAGCCACATTTGAACTCGGGTCTTCCTGACTCCAGGCCCAGTGCCCAATCCACTGCAACACCTGTCTGGGACAGCATGTAGCTTACCCAGGATGTTCCCACCATTTGCATCCTAGCAATCAGTTCCTTCCTATGAGGGAGAAGTATTTCCTGAATACAATTGCTATCAAGGGGTTTGTCTACCTCTTGGATGATGAAGTCATAATTAAGACGTGCCAGGAAGTTATCAGCTGCCCAGAAGATGTCTAGAAAACAGCAGCCCCCCTCACTATATAACAAGCCTCTGGGCCAAAGCCCCTGCTCCACAATGACCTCTGGAACCCTCCTTCCCTATGGACACTGCTGCCCACATAGCTTAGATGGGCAGGGAGTCACCAACCAGAATCCTTTGGGTAAGAAAACAGTCATTAACATCTCCCTGCTAGCTCCACCCTCCTATATGTACTGGATCTCCAATGGTACAGAATTTCCCCTTTACTTTGTTCCCAAGCACATACTGCAGTGCTCGGCACAAAATAAGCACCTGATAAATCTTGGAATCATTTTATTCCTTCATTCACTCTCTATGTCAGGAGGGAGATTTGTTCCCCCAGCCACTCATCTCTTTCCTCTTCCTGGCCAGGTGGGCTCTGAGGACAAAACTGTTCATGTTTCACCTTTCCTGTGACCTTCACCTGAACATTCTCCCCCCCCAGCCACTGGAGTTCTGTCACATGAGTACACTCAAGTGACCAATGCTGCCACAGCCCCATTTTCACCCACTCTGCTTCCCTTAAGTTATTCACATCCAGAGACAAGTGCCTGCTGTGGGTTTCATCCAACCAAATCTCAGGGATAATTCTGTGGTCAAATGTGCCTCCAGCTGGGATTTCCTGTTCCTCCTTCCTGCTGTTATTTACCTGAAATGATGCAGAATAATCAAAGTGGACTAGGAATGCACAAGCCATGAAAATAGCAATAACATCATCACTCAAAAACATGCCCAGAAGAGCTCAAAAGCTGACAGGGAAGGAAAGAGAACCACCCTGCTTCTGAAAGTTAATGTTAAACATTTTTACTCAAGAAACTACAAAAAATGAAAGATCAAATTATTTACTTGTTATATTTAAATAATTATGTATTTATATTTAATTTTTTTTTCTCTCCATTATTTAAGTTTTTCATGCTTTTCATGCTATCACTTCATTCACTCTAGGATGAGTCTTTTGATGCTCCACTCCCATCATTAAAAGTTTTCCCATATTTATTACATATTAAAGTTTTTATTCCAATGTGAATTCACTGATGATTAAAGTTTCACACCGACCAAAGGCTTTCCCACATTCACAACATCGAAAGGGTTTCCTTCCAGTATGAATTCTCTGATGAGGCTTCTCCTCCTAGTGCAGGTTTTTCTACATTCAAATAGTTTAATCCAGTGTGAGTTCTCTGACGGTTATTAAGGTTGTCCCTTTCACTGAAGGCTTAAAATGGTTTACTTTTATGTGAGTTCTTTTATGGCTATTAAGGTTGCCCCTCTCTCTGAAGGCTTTGCCACATTCATTACATGTAAAAGGTTTCACTCCAGTGTGGATTCTTTGGTGAGTAATGAGATATTCCTTTCAAATGAAGGCTTTCCCACATTTATCACAAAGGGTTTCATTCCAGTGTGAGTTCTCTCATGGATAATAAGGTATGTCTTCTCACAGAAAGCTTTCCCACATTCTTTACATTCAAAGGGTTTCACTCCTATATGAGATCTCTGATGGCTATTAAGGTGTGCCTTTCGAAGCAAGGCTTTTCCACATTCATTACATTCAAAGGGTTTCACTCCAGTGTAGATTCTCTGATGGCTAATAAGATTTCTCCTCCAAGTGAAGGCTTTTTGACATTCATTACATTCAAAGGGTTTTACTCCAGTACGGATTCTCTGATGGCTAATATGGTGGCTCCTCTCAGTGAAGGCTTTGCCACATTCATTACATTCAAAAGGTTTCACTCCAGTATGAATTCTCTGATGGGTGATAAGGGATGTCCTTATAGAGAAAGCTTTGCCACATTCATTACATTCAAAAGGTTTCACTCCAGTATGAGTTCTTTGATGTCTATTAAGGTATCCCTTCTGAAGAAAGGCTTTGCCACATTCTTTACATTCAAAAGGTTTCACTCCAGTGTGGATTCTCTGATGATTAGTGAGGGTTTTTCTGGTAGTTAAAGATTTCCCACATTCACCACATTCAAAGGGTTTCCTTTGAGAGTGAGATTTCTGATGCCCAATACATATTCCATCATCACTGAAGCTTTTGTCAGATTGTGTAGATTTCAGTCCCATGTGAGTTCTCTGATGTTTACTAAGTGCTTCCCTGTTCCTGAGGGTTTTCCAACACACATCATATTCAAATGGATTTTCTCCAGTATGAATTTTATGTTGTACATTAAGATTAGATTTTTTGCCAAAGGCTTTCTTTCCAGATGCATCATACTTATGGAATCTTTCTCCCATGTCACCTCGCCATTGTGGAAAAAAGACTGGCCCCAGGTTCAAACGCCTAACAAATGTGCTACATTCAGGTACACTCCCCATATTAAAGGCTTTTTTCAGAGTGATTGCCACTTGTTGGAACTGTCTCTCCTGGTGGCCTGCCTGTCTCCCTAACCTACCTTCCCATTCCTCAGTTTCTCCCATCCTGGGATACCAGTTACTATCCACTGGCAATCTCTCTTGGGCCAATGTTCCTGAGCAAACACCCTCAGTTAAAAGTGAATCCTTGGTTTTGCATCTAGCGTCCGGACTCAGGTAATCTGAAATAAACAAAACTGTGTCAGAAAATTAGGACAGGCTTGAAAGCCACAAGCACAATATAAGTAATTAAAAGACATAATAAAAGATCCTAAGCATCATGCACAATCCTCTTTGTTTGGTTATATATATGGAAATGCCCATTTTATTTCATGTTTGTCAAGGTAAGAACAAAAATACATCAATTTCTAATAGAATATACTATTTGCAGGTAAGTAAAAAGGTAGAAACAAAGGAAGGAGCTCAGAAAATTACTCGATGAGAAAATTTTGTACTCTACACTTAAATCTCTAGCAGAATCAATTTTTGTCTCTTAAAAAGTTGATGTGGAAAAAAAAGTTGAAAATTTTTTTTTTGAAAAGTTGATGTGAATTTATTTGAGAAGACATGAACAGTGCTACCCTCCTCCTGATGGAGCTGGTGAACTCTAGATGCACAAAAGACTTGCATTGTGGACATGACCAAGTGGGAACTTAATTTGGTTTATTTTTCAAGCAGGTTTGAAGAATTTGAGGTTGGAAAAAAATATATGCTATTTAAAAAATAAAATTGAATAACTGAACAAAGTACAAAGCATAAAGTTTATAAAATAATACTGTGCCCTATAAGTACAGAGAAAAGGAAGCATTGACCACGTGTGACGAGAGAAATGAAGTGATGCAAACACAAAGAGATCCCAAAGCATGTCAGCACAGCTGAGGCAGCCAGAAGGTGACATGCCTTAAAGGAGAGAGACATGGTGCTCAAAATTTAGGCCACGAACCAGGGGAAGCAGAGGACCCACTGCAGGGGGCAGGTCACACTGACACCCTGGGGGCTAAACCCCAAGAATGGATGAGCATGGCTTATGCAAAGGAAGCAGGAAAGATGAAAGGGGGTGGGGGGGGAGCAGCCGAAATTAAAAAGCTCAATTCATGAGGAAATGGAGCAAAGGAATGGTAAAAGCTTATTGGAGGAAATCTGGCCGGAGGCCAGAGGAGGGAAGAAGGCATGTGATTCTGTCAGGGGAGTACAATGCAGACACCTGGAGAGGAGGAGGGACCAGAGGAAGAGCTAGGGAAAGGACCAGAAGGAATGAGAGTGCAGTGACTAGGGCTTCAGGGCTCCAGGCATCCACTGTGGCTCACCTTCTGCCCACAGCAGAGCAGTTTGTGCTGTTCTTGATGGACCTGGCCCCGTACTGGCCATGGGGGAGGAGAGAGTGAGAAGTCCAGGATGACTCCAAGGTTGGGAGCCTGAGGAACTGGGAGGGGGATGGTGCCCTTGACAGTCACAGGGGAGCAGATGGGGGGAGGGGGAAGATGTTTAGAGGGAAACATGCGTTCAATTTTGGACATGCTGAATTTAAGATATCTACTGGACACTGATCATCATTTAAGATCAATTGAGCCCCAATAAGGGCCAAAAACCTGAATTGATCTTTTCTTCCTGAGTGAGCTGAGAATGCCCCTTCCTGTGTCAACAGCTAAAGCTGATCAAGAGCATTCTTCTGTTCATGACCACTAAGGTACCTTTCACCCAGACACTACCTTGAATAAGGGGGCTTTTCTTATCTTGATATTCTATGGTGGTAAAGGAAGCACAGATATCCTGGATCTGACATTTGCCTATCAATTAACAAAGACATCCTGAGTCAGGGTTTAAATGTGCTGCTAAAATTGCTTGACTCAGTCAGAGTTAAAGCTCTGCCTCCATGTAACATGTTACATGCTGCTACTTTAGGGGAATAAAACAATATGGATTTATTTATCATCTAGTTTGTTGCCTCTTTAACCAACTTTCAGGTCGACAACATTCGATTTGAGATGTCTTAAAGGCATTTGGAGATGAGAGAGTGCAGGTCAGCAGAGAGATTGGGCAGGAAAGGTATATTTGAGAATCATCAGCATAGAGGTGGTCATTAAATCCACGGGAGCCAAAGAAATACGGAGGGAAAAGAAAAGTGGGACCAGAACAAGTCTGTGGGATCCCCGTCTTCAGTGGTCTTGATATGAATAAAGATCTAGCAAAAGAGATAGAGGTGGAGCAGTCAGACAGGAGCATGACGTTATGGAAATCTAGAGACTGATGGTGTTGAGAAGAGCGGGATCAAAAGTGTCAAAGACTGCAGAGAGGCCAAGAAGGATGAGTACTAATCAAGGAGGCCATTGCATTGGGCACTTAAGACATCCCTGGAATTTTGGAAAGAGCGATTTCAGTAAACAGAGAGATGTGAAGCCAGACTACAGAAAGTTAAAAAAAAAATGAGGAGAAAAGAGGTGGAGGTGCCATTTTGGACAGCCTTCTGGAGGAGTTTAGCCACCAAAGAGAAGGGAGATATGAGACAATAGCTAGCAGGGATGGATGGAGTAAGCAAGGTGTTTTTTGAGCACAGGGAGGAGAGATGGGTGTGTTTATAAACCGTAGTGAGTGAAGCAGCCAGCAGACAGTTGAGACTGAAGATAAGAGACAGGGTGGGGCTGATGGAAAGGGCAATCTGCTTGAGGAGCTGTGATGGGGCAGGTCACTGGTGGAGGTAGAGGGGTTTGCCTTAAAAAAAAAGAAGGGTTACTTCTTCATGTGAGACAGGGATGAAGGAGAAGAGAGTAGCAGAAGGCATCTGGGGGATGGGAGGCGAGGAGAAGGGGAGAAGAGGAAGCTGTTGCCAAATGCCCCTCAGGAGACCAAAGCACAAGACCATGTTCTCCCGTGAGAAGGGGAGGAGCAGATAGCCATGAAGGCAGGAGGAGGGCAGAAAGGTCACTGTAGTGAGTGTGACACTGAGTCACTGGGAAGGATCAGAAGGGCTGCCTTGCAACAGGACTCAGGTGAGGTCACCCAACACAAATCTGTAGTGGACAGAGTCAGCAGGGTTTCATGATTTTCTTCAACCAAGGGGAGAATGATGAGCAAGAAAAAGAAAATACATTTGTCTTCACTGAAAAAAAAATTTTAAATAAAAACTTCAAATTACATCAGAAAAAAAGGAGGTTCAAAGAAGGGAAAGGACCTCTACTTGAGGTAGATGAGATGATGATAATTAACAAGAGGGAGCAATTACAAGTTCTCTGAAGAATGCAAAGAAAAGTGGCATGACTCCATCAGCAATACAGCCACTATTTTTGCCAATTTGTACAAATGGGTTTTAAAGCGGCTCAGCTGATAGAGGATTGGGCCTGGAGTCAGGAAGATCTGAATCCTAATTCAGCCTCAGACAATTACCAGCTGTGTGACCCTAAGCAAGTCACTTCACCCTGTGTGCCTCAGTTTCCTCATCTGTAAAAACGACCTGGAGAAGGAAAAGGCCAACCACTCCAGTACCTCCACCAAGAAAACCCCAGATGGGATCATGGAGAGCTGGACAGGACAGTTAAGGACTGAGCAACAGACGCCAAGAACTCACATCCCTTTCGGACATTCTTAGAGGCAAAGCTCCAGATCGAGAGATTCTGAGGAACGGTTTGTTCTTTGGAAGATTTTGACCATTTATCTCCCGCTGACCCAAGACAACCGAGGAGAAAAAGGGAGGGAAGACCAATCACTGCAATTGAAAAATAAATATTAGAAACCTTTTCTCAAACAAGAAAGAGAGAAGATGGGCTTCCTTCTCTGGCAATGCCAATGTGTGGAGGCAGAGACGCCTGGAGGGCATTTTCCTCAAGTCAGAGATAAGGAAGGAAGCCGGTGCCACACAGGTGTGGGGGCTCTGAGTGCCGCCCCCGAGTGACCGCCTGACCGACTGCTTCCAGTGGCTTCCCTCTGCCCACCTGTCACTCACTCACCTGGGCAGGGGCCTCTGGGGGCTCCTACCTCGGGCATCCATGGCGCTTCTCCTCTCTCCAACAGGAAGATCATGGCGGGTTTGGACACTGGAAGCCCTGATCGTGGGGAGAGAGAGGAGAAAGGACTGGGACACAAAGCCACCTCAGAGTCCAAGCCGGGCCCCTTCCTCACGGAAAGAAACAAACGCTAAGAAAGTACGGAGAGCGACGAGACAAGGGGCCTCAGACGGCCACCCCCTGCTGTATCGGGTCCAAGTTCAAGGGGAGGTCACATCTGCTTTGGGCTCGAAAGAAAATCAGCGACAGTGGGGTCTTTGCCTTTCTAAAGTCTTAGCACATTTCCGAGAATTGTGCACCGAAGGAAAAAGAGTGCAGGGAGGCCAGAGCCTCAGGCCAGCCCAGGGGAGCGCCACTTTTACAAGGGGGGGATATATGAAGCAAACCCACCCTCCCCGGGCACCGATGATTCCAGCCCCCCCCCCACCATCCACACCGGTCACCGTTCCCGAACCACGCAGGCCCTTCAGAGCCCCCCGGCCGGCACAGGGAGGACGCACAGGGCAGGCGTGCTCACCCACAGCCACCCAGGTTCCCATAGTTCTCCAGCATCACGTCTCGGTAGAGGGCCCTCTGGGCCGGGCTCAGGCGCCTCCACTCTTCCCGGGAGAAGTCCACGGCCACGTCCCTGAACGTCAGCGGGCGCTGAAACACAAACCCTCCGCTGTGAACCCGGGACCGCCCCCCACGCGGGAGACCCGGGGGATGACGTCACAGAGGGCGGAGGTGGGGGGGGCGCGGGCAGAGCCCGGGAAGTGCCCGGAGCGGCTGCCAGGGACCCAGGCACAGGGCACGGGCAGGGCCTCCCCTGGCGCCCTCGGTGATGGAGGGGGCAGGAAGAAGGCCCACTGATGAGGCGCCTGCTGTGTGCCAGGCCCAGGCTGAGCCGCCCCTACCCTCCAGGAACCCACGTGGGGGCGCCCTCGCGGTGGCTGCAGTGGGGGAGGGGGCTGGAATGCACGTGCCGGAGGGGGCGGGGCCGAGAAGGGAAAACAAACACCACGTGACCGGTGACGCGATCGTGCTCCGGGGCCTATCCCAGGGAGTTGACCAGATCAGGAAGAGGGGCGCTGGACACGCTGGTCAGGCCGAGACACACACACACGCACACGCATGTTACACTCCCACGCGTATGGGAGCCTCAAGGCCCTTCCGCAGAGGCAGGCTGTTCCGCCCCCGCGCATGCGCTGACTCACCCCCGCCCGAGGCCGTCTTTCCGGGATCCTCATTCCCCCTCCTACCCCACGCGGCCGGGCGAGGCTCACAAGTGCACAAGAGACCGGGAGCCACTCCTCTGGACCGTCAGATTTTCTAGCAGGAGCCGGCGCCGCAGCAGGCCGGGGGGGGGGGGGAGCTGGGCGGGGCGCGACCTCTCGGCCAATGACGGCCATCAATGGCGGGTTTCTTAAGCCCCGCCCAGTCACCGCCTCGGTCCCGCCCCAGCCCTCCATACAAAGGCCCGTCCCTTTCGCGGACCACTCCCCCCCTTGGCTCCCAATCACAAACTCAGCTTTCCTCTCTGACGCTCCCCAACTCTCCAATCACAGAACTCTTCCCCTTTCTTTCCCGGCGCCCCCCCCCAATGCCCCAACCCCATCCCTCGCTTCCCTGCCCGCTAACTGTCCCATCCCAGGCCAGACTCTGTTTCCTCTGCCCCGCCTCAACCCTCCTTCACTGGCCTGTCCCCTCTCTCTCGCTGACCACACCTACCTGCCAATCACACTCCCAGCTTGTGCCTGTCAGGCCTTCAAGCAGGCCCCGTGCCCCTGCTCCTCCAGGATCGTCTCAGCATCGGTACTCCATAAACTCGAGTGGCTCCCTAATACCCCAGGATGGAATGGAAAATAGTCTCTGTTTGGCGTTTCAAGCCATTCACACCATGGCCTCCTCCTCCCGTTCCAGCCTTCCCCCTTTCTCCCCCCCCCCCCCCCCGCAAGTCTAGGCCACACATTGGAACACACTTCCATTTCCAGACCCCGGGCCTTTGTCCTCTCTCTCTGTGCCCCATACTTGGGATCTGGCCCTGCCTCAAACCTGGCTTCTGAGTGCCCTTCATCTCATATCCCTTCCTTTCTGCAGGAGGCCATAGCTGCTTACCCCCACTCACACAAATCACACTCTATGCTGGATGGATGGATGGATGGATGGATGGATGGATGGATGGATGGATGGATGGATGGAATGGATGGATGTTTGGATGGATGGACAGATGGAGAAGATAGATGGATTGATGGACAGAAAGAGGGATGGATACATACCGTACCATACCATACCATACATACATACATAGAGACAGCTAGGTGATACAGTGGATAGAGTACCAGGCCTAGAGTTCAAATCTGGCCCCAGACTCTTACTAGCTGTGTGACCTTAGGCAAGTCACTTCACTCCTTTCCTCATCTGTAAAATGACAAACCACTCCAGCATCTTTGCCAAGAAAACCCAAATGGGATCCTGAACAGTTGGATGGAACTGAACAACAATACATGGATAGACAGATAACTGGATGGATAGATAGATAGAATTGATACGTGGATGGAGAGAGAGAGAGAGAGAGAGAGAGAGAGAGAGAGAGAGAGAGAGAGAGAGAGAGAGAGAGAGAGAGAGAGAGAAATAGATAGATAACTCAGAAGGAGAGCTAAATTCCTGAGCTCAGCAAGGTGGCTTTAGGCAGATGCAGACTCAGTTATAAAATTAATACAGCATAAAATCAATTACATTATAGAATCAATGCAGCAGAAATCAACACAGAAGAAACCAGAGGTAATATTAATTTTGATCTTTTCAAAAGGGAATTAACAGGTTGGCACAAATGGGACAAAACCTTGCCAAAGGAACAAATATCCTGGAAATTATTCTAATCCATTCTGGATGAAATAGAAGCTAATGACTTCATGAGAAAACAAGAAACATTAAAACAAAATCAATACTGGAAAAAAAATGTAAGGTACCTCAAAGGAAAAACAAACTGACCTGGAAAAAAATACAAGGATAGAAAATTTAGGAATCATTGGATTGCCTGAAAGCCATAACCCCCACTTACCATAAAAGAGCCCAGAAATAATGATTCAAGAAAACTGCCCAAATCTCAGAAATAAAAGGCTGGGTAGAAATAGAAATAATACATTGAAGGAAGGAAGGAAGGAAGGAAGAAAGAAAGAAAGAAAGAAAGAAAGAAAGAAGAGAAAGAAAGAAAGAAAGAAAGAAAGAAGAAAGAAAGAAAGAAAGAAAGAAAAGAAGAGAAAGAAAGAAAGAAAGAAAGAAGAAAGAAAGAAAGAAAGAAAGAAAGAAAGAAAAAGAAAGAAAGAAAGAAAGAAAGAAAGATCCCAAGAACATTGCCAAATTCCAGAGCTTCTCAGTCAAAGGAAAAATACTGTAAGTGGTCAAAAACAAAGAATTCAGGTACTGAAAATCACACACGAAATTTAGCAGCCACCATTATAAAAGAGCAGAGTTTGGAATAAAATATCCCAGAAGACAAAGGATATACAGTTACAACTAAAAACAATTTACCCAGCAAAACTAAACACAGAAGATAAAAAATGGATTACTAATGAAATAGAGGACTTCCAAGCCTGCCTGATGAAAAGCCCAGAGCTGTGTAAAAACTTTGAAGTGTCAACACAGAAGTCAGATAGAAATATTTAAAAATGTAAACATGAAGGAACAGTCATAAACTCAACAATAAATTGTTTACATTCTAATATGGAGAGATGATATCTGTGTCACCTCTGAACCATCAAGGGTCATAGAAGGAGTCTGATTAGAAGGCCTGGGAGTTGTTCTGCCATCTCTTGATGATCTTGAAAGAAGAAAAGCAAGGGAGGGGAAGAGGAATATACAGAAGGGGAAGGGAGAAGAAGGAGGGGGAAATTGTCTCATGTTATTGGGGCATGCAAGTAGAAGTCTATACAAACAAGGAGGAAGCTGACACTTGAACCTTACTCTCATCTGAACTGGTCAAAGGAGGAAAGAACACACACACACACAAATAGAAAAATATTTCACTCAACAAGGAAGTAGGAGGGAAAGGGGAGAAGGAAGAAGGGGAAATTAGAGGGACAAGAGATTAAGGGAAGGCTTAGTCCTAAGCAAAACAAACTCTATAAGGATATACAAAAATATGTATGGCTCTTTTCAATGTGGCAAACAGTTGAAATATGAAGGGGTACCCATCAACTGAGGAATGGCTGAACTCTTTAGGGTGTATAAATGTGGTGAGATACTAATATGCTGTAAAAAATTACAAGGGGAATGGTTTCAGAAAAATCTGAAAAGACTTACATGAACTGATGCAAAGTGATGTGAGCAGAACCAGAAAAACACTGTACACAGTAACAGCAATATTGTAAGGATAATGTTGTGGTGACCTCATTATTGTATGCCTGTGAAACCTGGACAGTATACCGGCACCATGCCAGGAAACTGAATCACTTCCATTTGAATTGTCTTAGGAAGGTTCTGAAGATCACCTGGAAAGATAAGGTCTCAGATATTGAGGTCCTTTCTTGAGCTAAACAATCAAGCATTCAAACTCTACTGCAGAGAGCAGCAACTCTGATGGACTGGCCACATTGTTCCAATGCCAAAAGTATGTTTGTCTAAAAGACTTATTTTATGGAGAACTCACACAAAGCAAGTGCTCACATGAAGGTCAGAAGAAGGGCACTCTTAAGATCTCTCTGAAGAACTTTGGAATTAATTTTGAGACATGGGAGACACTAGCACAGGACTGCCTAGCATGGCGTGCCCATGTCAAAGAAGGTGTTGCACTCTGTGGGCAGAGCAGAATTGCAGTAACTCAAAAGAAACATGAGATGCACAAATTTAGACAGCTCGACTCCAAATGTTCACGTGGATTGTACCACAGGCCTGACCTGTGGTAAAGCCTTCCAATCTTGGAGTGGTCTGATCAGCCACAATCGGAGACACCGTACCTTGACCCCAACATAGTGATGTCATTTTGGTCCCCTTCAAGAACGAAGGACAACCACCAAGGATGATCAACTGGGAAAGCTTTGGCTACTCTGGTCAGTACAATGATCCAAGACAATTCTGAAGGACCCATCATGAAAAATGCTATCCACCTGCAAGGAGAGAACTGAGTGCAGAAGCATACTTTTTTTTTGCTTTCTTTACTTTTCTTGTTTATGTGTGTTTTACTTTGCAACATGGGTGATATAGAAATATATTTTGCATGACTTCATGTATATAATCAATATTGCATTGCTTGCCCTCTCAATGAATGGGGAAAGGTCAGGAAAGAGGGAGAGAATTTGGAACTCAAAATTTTAAAAAATAAATGTTAAAAAAAATTATATGTAATTGGACAATATTTGTTGGAAAATAATGGTATACACACATATAGGAATGATGTAAAAGCTTTTTTAAATGGTAAAAAGGATGGTTTCAGAGGATCTTGGGAAGACCTGGATGAAATATTACAGAAGGAAGTGAGCAGAACCAAGAGAATAGTGCATACAATGAAAACAAAAATTTTAAGAAAAACAACCTGGAAAAACTTGAAATTCTGATCAGCAAGATGACCAATCATGCTTCCAGAGCACTCATGATGAAACATTCCACCCACCTCCTGATAGAGAGGTAAAGGTCAGAGTGCAGAAGGAGATACTATTTTTGGATATGGGCAATTTGGAAATTTGTTTTGCTTAACTATACATAGGGGTTTTGTTTTTCTTTCTCAATTGAAGGGCAGAAGATGGGAAGGAGAGATTTTTGCCAATTAAAAAAAACCTAAAATTCAATTAAAAATGAATTTATTAAAAAAAAAATAAAATGACAGTGTTAGACTGGATTAAGAAAAGAAATGACATGAAACATATTCAACCCAACAGAGAAACAGGAGGGAGCAGGGATAGGGAAAGGGGGGAGGGCAGGAGCTGGGTGAGCAGAGGGTGGATTAAGGAAGGGATTATTCATAAGTAAAACAACACTAAGCTCAAAGCAAGGAATGGGGAGTTAAATGGGGGGGAAAGAGAAGCCAACAGTGACAGAGGCACCAGAGATTCATTTAGTTACAGAGGAAGAATCCAGGCCAGTCATGCTCACTTCAAACCCAGTTTGGTCCATGACTCTCAAACCCACTTCCCCACCTTTGCCCCAGAGGCCTTCTCATGTCAGCAAGGCCTGAAACCTACAACCTCCTGTTCCATAACTTCCATTTGGCCAAGTACCCATGCTAGTGATGTTCACGTCTAACCTAACTTAGCCTCCAATTCCCCCAACTATTTTTCCACACTTCTTCTACCTCTCTACCTTTCATTTGGTGTGCAATCTTCCTCCATTAGAACATAAGTCCCTTGGGGGCAGGGGGCTGTCTTTCTTTTTTGGCTGTATTTAAATTCCTGCTGCTTAGCACAGTGCCTAGGAC